TATATATATACCAATGATTTGTACCATGTTCCTAGTGTGGTGTTGTTAAGTCAAACATGAAACATTCCAAGGTCCTCTGTCTCTATCCCAGGGTAGCCAAACACTCTCCCAAAGCAGTGTGTTTCCTGCTCTTGCAGGTTGTTCTCCATTTCCACATATTCTTGGTCGTGTATTATAGAAGTCAGCAAACTTCACTTGAAGGGCCAGATAGTAAATGTTTTAGGCTTTGTGGATCATAAGTTCTCTCTGGCAGCTACTCAAATCCCTTACAGTTCAAAGGCAGCAATAAATAAGATATACAGGGATGGAGGTGGCTGTGTTCCAATAAAACTTTATTTACATAAATAGGCATCAGGCAGGTTTGGCCCAGGAGAATAGTTTGCCAACTCTTTTATTTATTTATTTGTTTTAATTAGTTAAATACAACAGTAGAATGCACTTATATACTTTGATATATCATACATAGATGGGATACAATTTCTCATTTTTCTGACTATACATATTGTAGAATCACATTGGTCATACAGTCACATATATACATAAAGTAATAATGTCTGTTTCATTCTACTTCCTTATCCCCACATCCCCTGCCTTCCCCTCCTTCCACTTCCCTCTACCTAATCTAAGGTAACACTATTCTTTTGTTTTTTTTTGCATTACCATTCTTAAAATACATATACACCACAATTTTTGTATCTTTGTATATAAAATATGTTGACACCAATTCAAGTCTTCATACATGTACTTTGGATAATGATGTCCATCACATTCCACCATCCTTGCTAATCCCCTGCCCCCTCCCTTTCCCTCCCACCCCTCTTGCCTATCTAGAGTTCATCTATTCCTCCCATGCTCTCCCTCCCTACTCCACTAAGAATCAACCTCCTTATATCAGAGAAAACATTTGGTATTTTTTTTGGTGGGGGGAGGATTAGCTGGCTTCTTCACTTTGCATTATCTTCTCCAACGCTATCTATTTACCTGAAAATGCCATTGGCTAGTATGTTTTTAAATTTTTTGAACAGCATCAAAGTATATTTTAGCAATTTTTGTACAATGAATATCATGGTTTTGATTTTTATACTGATTGGCATTTGTGCACTTAGTACTTTTATTCAACATGTTATGCAAAGTTGTTTATTTAATCTTGTAATGATGGGCATTGATTTTGTTTCCTATTTTTCACTGTTATCAGCAATGCTGTAATAGCTATTCTTCACCTTGTACCCTGTGCTCATTTGCAAAAGATTCTGTTTGGTAACATACTTACAGAGTACGTATCAGAGTCTCTACCTAAGTTACCAGCTCAAAAGGTATTTTTCTAGTCAGATCAAAATTATGGGCAGAGGAGATCAATTGTTTTAGTAAATCTCGACAATTGAAAGGGTTAAAGTTTCTTAATTTCTACCATTCTTGCATTAAACGGTAGAAGGAAATATTGAATTTAAACATTGTGTTCTATTTATTTAATTGACAACTTGTGAGAACACAAGGAATTTGTTTTTTAACAGTGGCAGTTTAAATCCTTTCTGGTTGTAAAACACATGGCTTTTCTGCAAAAGGCATTTGATAAATTCCTTATTAATTTTTCCAGTAGTTGAACCAAATGCTATTTTGTATTTTTTTTTTCTTTTGCATTCTGTATTTCTAAAGTGTAATTTTGGTTTTCCTCTTGGGTTCAAACTAGCTAAGTGCAAAGCATGACATTCATTTTAGTCAGATTTAGCTATTTATAAACTCAGAATATGATTATCCCTTTGTTGCCTTAAGATTTTTTTCTGTTACCTATTAGGTTGTAGTCTACAAGATGCTGTCATTTAAAATACTTTCCTTATAATGAAGATAAACTCTATTGGACGGATGGTAAAATGTGTCAATTTCTTAACTATTGTGGCATATCGTCCTATAAAATTTCAAGAGTACAAAAGGGGAATCAATAATTCTCTTTAGTATTAATTTTCTTCCCTAGGGGCTGCTGTTGACACCAGATTCCTCAACCTTCTTGTAGGGATATCAGTTCCTAGAACAGTAATAACATTTTATGATTGGAGCAAACTGACTTTTTATAGGAGTAAAAATGTAAAATACAAGCTTATATATTCCATGATTGTTTTTCTGCTCTAATGGAATCCATTATCCAAATAGCCATGTATGTATACATAGTCACTTATGATTTTTAGAGTTAAGTTTTCACAGAGTTCAAGCAGCTAGGACCAATTTTATTTTTCTTTCATTTGTCTAATGTTTTACTTAGGTTTTGAAGAGTTTCCTGATTTCTTTTCTACAACTTTCTTTACTTTTATTTGTTCTAGCACTTTGCATTCTTTAATTCATAATCATGACCTCTATCTTACGTGAGCTCCCAGGCCTGCTGATTCTTTCAAGCTGCATTTCAGGTTTCCTTTTACACCTAGAAATGGTCTACCTACAGAGATATTGCAAAGAAACCAGAGTTGATGACATGACCTCAACACAAATTGGGATATCAGTTCCTCAGTACCTTGATGTGAAAAACTGAGAAGTAGGCTCACCTCATTCTGAGGTTTTGGCATCAGAGCAGCAGAAGAAGCGATGTTTGTAGTTATCATTAAACTCTTGTCCTTGGTTCTCTCTGGTTGCTTTTGGCACACTAGATTCTAATATCATGTGTCTCCATTCTTCTTGTTATTAGAAGAAACCTGCTGAACAAGTGATCAGAAATAGAATATGTTTGACTCTTTTTCTCAACACTCAACTAAATCACTCGACTCCTAGGGAACATTATTCCCCCGCCACACATTCATTCATTGGGTCATTACTTCCAACTCAGATATGCAGTATTCATTTTTCATTTATATAACTTGCATTTTGCAAACTGCACAGGGTGATAACCCTGCGACACCAGGTTTAAAGCTGTCCTACATATTTCTGTGTCAGGCTGGACAAGTGTTCCTTTCTTTTTCACACTTCTCATACACCCTTTATTCTTCAGGTCATTATGTGCCATTTGCCACTTCCTGAGTCTGAGTGTGTGACTGCAAGTGTTTGAGAGTTTTATTCCTCCTTTCATTCAGACCAGTGACTGCCTAATTTTAAATGGACTATTTGTGCCAGTTTCCCAGTTTAATCCCTGTTGCCATGATTAAGTAGTCCAAAACATTCTTCAATGACGTCTGAGGCTTTGAAATTTAAAAGTAAATTGCTTCTGGGAAAAACAAATCAAACTTGCACTGCAGACCTACAGAAAGTGCATTAAAACATATTACGCTGCACTTTCTTGGTGGAATAAATTGAGAGTCACAGTAATGTTTCTTCTAGCAATGTCAGATTCTTAGACACTTCGATTAATTTTGGCTTTAGATTGAGTTTCTCTCCAACACTCCACTCTCTATTTGATGTGTCTACATTTTTCAATGTATCCAATGACAATTTATGCCATAAATTATTGGCTTGGGGGCCAACAATCCAAAGTAGAAAGGTAAAGCAATATACTAAAGGGAGTGCATAGAAAAGATATGGATTTGATTTGATTTCCCATTACTGATTTGCTATGTGACATTGGGCAGATTGTGCAACCTTCACAGACCTTCATTAATATCACTCTCTGGGTCTACATATGATGGTGTCATGGCTGCCATATTACATTGGAGAAATATGCTCTGGTGGAGGGTGTTGGGTTGATAGTAAAAAATACTCTAAACTGTGCCAGTGTTTTGTGAGTACACTGCATGCCCTATTTGAGAAAACTGGAAAGGATAGCTTAGCAAAGTGTGGTACATGGAGGAATCCACTTTATTCAGTTAGGAAATTAAATGAAAGAATGAATATTTTAAGTTTACATTTAAAAGCTGCATTGTAGCTTAGTTATTTTAAAAAAAAATATTTTAGTACACCCCAAGTATGTATGTATATGCATAGTATAAGTATATAGCTCAATAAATGTTTACAAACTAAACATATTCATGTAACCAACACCTCCCAAATTACCTCCTCAAGCTCTTTCTGAGTCATAACCCCCGACCTACCACTTATAATGTAATAGATGAGTTTTACCTGTTTCATACTCTTTGAAAATGAGAACCATCAGTACTCTTTCATGTCTGATATGTTTCATTCAAATATATTGTTTGTTAGATGCACTCAGTTTTATGTAGACACAGATTATTCATTCTCATTATTGCATAGTATCCATAGAGTGAATCTGTTCAATATGTTGAATATGTTTATGGATAAGACATTTAGGTAGTTTTCAACTTTTGTCCATTATTAACAATGCCACTATGAGTGTTCTAGAATAGCATAGTGCAACAGAACTTCTACAGTGATAGAAATGCTCTAATGTGTGCTGCCAAATATCATAGCAACTAGTCACATGTGGATATTAACTCTTGAACTACAGCTAGTGTGAATCAGGAAATAAACATTTAATTTTAACTAATTTTAATTGTTTCTAAGTGGGCATGTTTGCTAGTGGCTTCCATATTGGATAGAATGGTTCTAGAACATGTCTTTAGGTGAGTATATGTACTTACATCAGTGAAGAATGTTTCATTTATATCTATGAATATGAGGTTTGGTTATAAGGCATGCAAATACTAAATTATAGATTTTTCTAAGCAGTTTTCTATCAGCAGTGTTCAGTTGTACCCATTTTCATCCCCACCAACAACATATGGGAATTCATTTCTTCACACTTTTGAAAATAATTGATATTTTCTACTTAAAAATAACAATTTAGACATTAATAGATTGACGTTTATAGATGCATTCATAGTCTCAATACTTGTGTTCTTGGTTCTTTCCATGTTAGTTGCCATTATCTGAACATTCGTGTCTTTCCAAATTCGTGGTTAAAATGCCAGCCTCCGTGGTGAAGATATCAGCAGATGGGATGTTGCAGGAAGTAACTAAGCATTGTGGCACAGCACCCATGAATGTGCCCTTATGAAAGGAGCCCCCTTGGAAACTTGGTTGCCTTTCTCATATGAGGACCCTATGAGAAGCTGCCGTCTATGAAAAAGTGGGCACTTAACCAGACATTGAATCTGCAGCTTCCTTGATCTTGGATGTCCCAGCCTCACAGAATTGTGCGAAATAAATTTCTGTTGGTTATAAATTGCCCAGTTTATAGTATTTAATTATAGCAGCCCAAACAGAGTAAGACACTACTCTTCACAAAAGAAAAAAAAATTAAAAATAGAAATCAGATCACAACTCTTTTTTCTAAATCTGTTCCCAACTCCCCATTGAGTTTCCAATAAAACTTAGGTCCTTATCAAGAGGAGATGTGGTCCTGGTCATCTCTCCAGGATCGACATCTTCCACTTTCCCCAAAGCCCACTATACTCTGACTCCATGGACTGGTCCATGAACCTATGAACCTTCCCCTTTGCTTTTCAAATTTACTATTGTAGTTTCTACTGCCTGGAAAACTGTACTTTGTTCCCCTTTCCTAGCCTTGTCTGACATTCCCATGAGTGCCAATCTCCTGCCTGTGTCTCATCTCTTTAGTGGTACTCGGATGACTATCTATCTAGATCCTTCCATTTCAAATTCTAATAATTTCTCTAGTTTCTTTCTCATCTCGGACCACTGCTTATTATCATTAAGTTGGTTATCATTCACGTTCTTTATCTAGGTTTCCCTCTCTTCCTATAATTTGTGAATTCCATGATGATCGCATATATCTCTTTTTTCCCCTACTGTGGCACATAGAATAGGGACCTTCCAAAGATGTCCAAATCTCAACTCCTGGAAGATGCAAAGATGTTATGTAACACAGTGAAGGAGATTTAAAGTTACAGATAGAATTAAGGTTGATAATCAACTCACCTTAAAAGAGGGACCTTATCCTGGGTTATCTGGAATGGCTCAATGTGATTACAAGGATTCTTATATGTGATGGAGAGGGTAGAAGAGGTCATTGCAGTGTTCCCTGAGATGAACCCACTGTTGCTGGCTTTGAAGACAGGGGACAGGGACATGAGCCAAGCAATATGGGAAGCCTTTAAAAACAGAAAGGCAAGGGGTTAGATTCTCTTCTATAATATCAGAAAAGAAGGTGGCTCCGGTTGCATCTTGATTTGAGACCTGTGTCAGGGGTCTAACCCATAGAAGTATAAGTGAAAGATGTCAAGTTCGTGTTGTTTTAAGCCATCAATGGTTATGGTAGTTTCTTATACCAGTGAGAAACTAAAACTTATAAAGTTAGAAGACATATAAAGTTGAACATGAAAAATGATTTAAGAGTTGCTTATGAAATGAGAGAGAGATCCTAGAGATGAGCAGAGCAGAGAAGGCATCACAGAAAAGGGAAATTTGATGTAATACTGAAAGATAAGCTGGACTTAGTCTCCTAGAGCTATTTAACAAAAATATTTTGAGCCAAAGACTCAGTGTATATAACGAGTGGGCCGAAGGAAGCGTTTTGTGGTGAATTGTAATGGCTGAAGTTTGCAACAGCACTGTATCTAGTGTTATTGTTAAAATTAAGATATCTACAGTAATAACTAAAACTAAAACTCATCCTAGCCATCTAGTCATTGAGATGGACACCATTGCTATATACCACTGACAAGCCTGTTGGGATTTTGATGGCCCAATTGACTCATATCAGAAGGAAAGCATTTAGTTTACAAAATTTTTGAGGAAATTATGTATAGACTAACAAGTATAAGGGTAAGATTATGGAAAGGAAGATAAGAAACATTCAGTGTTTACTTTTGTAAAGGACGCAATGCTTTCTAAACATTCCAAATTTAATCCTCAGACTTTCTTGAAATGCATATGATTATCAATCTCATATAATCTAATAACAGTACTTCATCTTAGGACAGTTTTGCAGGTGATGTGTGGTGGAGCTGGGGTTTCAATCAGTGCTATATTTTAGGAGGCGAATTCTTACCCAGCTAATATCTCCCACGTATTACAAATATGAAATGAATTATGAATAAAGCTGCTTTAATTTTAAAAACAGTTTGAAGACTCCAGGGCAATGAAGAGTATCTTCATTTACTGTCTTCCAATTGACTAAAAAATTAATAAAGTATGTTTAGTTCATATTTCCTTGTATTATACTTTAAGAAAACGTAGTAATAAAAAGGGACAACTCATCCATCTCAGAGTAAAAGATAAAACATAGGAAATGTGCTGCCAGTCCTTCCACACTTTGTTACCAAAGGGATTCTCTAGACCTGCCATTCAGACTTAATGAATTGTAAAGTAGATCTTGAATCCTTGAAGTCCATTTCATATTTTCCAACTAGAACCAAAGTTTTCATCCTCGGAGGCCAATTAAAGATCCCAAGAAAGCTTGCTCTAATGAGCAAATTAGAAGAAGCTTAGTAAGAATGTTTCATTTTATAGATGAAGAAATAGTATTTGGAGGAGTGAAATTATTTCCCAGGTTACCCACTTACCCTCACACTGTGCTAAATGCTGGAGTTACCATGCAAATTAGGTGCAGCACTATCTTCAGGATCCTTACATTGCTGTCAATCTTGAGGTGTCATTCTTCCCAAAACAAGCTGGGAAAATAGAGCTTCCAAGAGTAGGTACAAATAATTTTTCCTATAAGATCTAGCTTTCTCTTCTAAGATTTATTATAACCTCTATGATGATGGGGTAATAATAATGAAAGAGATGCTAATGGCATCCCTAGAAGAGCCTACAGGCTCCTAACCTTATCCCAGATACCAGACCAGAACTCTCCTTGTCCAGTCTCTAAGGATCCTGCTAGGTCCATGTGTGTGTCATCTTCATTTAAGAATAATTACCTTTGGCACCAGAAAAAAAAATTGCCAAAAATATCCTTGGAAATTATTCTCTTCCTCTAGAGGAAATCAGTAGCCAATGACTCATTCACATATGGTGCAAACGACCAGCCCTCTTGCAACATGGAGGCACAACTCGATGGTGCCATTCCTACTCCTTAGTTCACTGTGGGGTCAGGCTAAGACTGGACTCTAATTGAGCTGGTATGCTTGCTTGGTTGCTTTTTCTGCTCTCTACCACCTCTGTCATTTTCCTCTAGGTTTCACTTGAAAGTGCTTGCTTGCTCTCCTCCTAGGGAACTCACCTAAATCAATGTCACATTTCTATGATTTTCCTACATGACTTCCAAGATTAAAAATAAATAAATAAAATATAAAAGACCTAATTTCTTTCACATGTTCTACAGAAGGTATAACTGCTATATTTTTTTTAATTTTTTTATTTACTTTTTTCCTATATAATAGTAGAATGTATATTGATATATTATACATATGTGGAGTACAACTTCCCTTTCTTCTGGTTGTATGTGATGTGGAATGACATGGGTCGTGTATTCATATATGAACATAGGAAAGTAATGTCTGATTCATTCTACTAACTTTCCTACTCCCATTCCCCCTCCCTTCTCTTTATTCCCATTTGTATAATCCAAAGTACTTCTATTTTTCCCTATCACTCCTCCTCATTGTGAGTTAGCATCTGCATATCAGAGAGAACATTCAGCCTTTGGGTTTTTGAGATTGGCTTATTTCACTAAGCATGATAATCTCCAGTTCTGTCCACTTACTGGCAAATGCCATGGTTTCATGACTTTTTATGGCTTATTAATATAACATTGGGTATATATACCTCATTTTCTTTATCCATTCATCTGTTGAAGGGCACCTCTGCTGATGCCATTATATATATATTTGGTGCTATATTTTTTTTAATATTACTCTTTTCTAAACACATTGCACTCCAAAAGAAGACATTCTTTGGGAAGAGACAAAATCAAAGATATCCAAGTGGCAGCCATTATGGAAGCCATAATAGCTCTAGGCGTCTCAAGACTTTTCTCAGATGTCTGAAGATTAGTGAGGAGGAACTTGACCTCTGGTCTCCTGATTCCTGATCTAGTCCTTTGCCCTTAGCTTACTCTCTGCCTTCTCAAACAGGGCTCTTCAGACTTAGTGTAATTCTTTGCAGAAAGGCATTATGGCTGAACTCTTTCCAAGGAATGGGAGAAACAAAAATCTGAGCTCTCTGATAAGGAACGGGAGTAACAAAAATCCTGCTTCTTCAGCGGTGACCCTAATCTGAGACTGAAATATTCACACTTGAAATTTGTTGTTGCATCAACATAGTCATTTTTCTTTAAAGAGATGCATTGGCCAGAGTGAAAGAGAAAATATATTTATTCTTGAAGGAATGAATAAACAAATA